TTATATCGGAAGAATCCCGATAATTATCGTTTAAAGAAATAGATTGGCATCTTCCAGAATCGGAACCGTTGTTGTTGGATAAAGGAAGAAGAGAAGTGCTTCCGAGATATGGACAATCGATAGCAGAATTCGATTTAATATTGTGATCATCGTGATCTGTTCTCGATTTTGAATCTTTAATGAAAAAAAAATCTCATGTAAGTATTTTATTATAATTTTTTGTTTTTGTTTCAAATTTACCAACCGTCTGAACTATTTGACAGATCGCATTCATTATGTTTTTCAGATGTGATTGTGACTTCGCCGGTTGAAAATGCATTCGATGAAGGTTTCTTTGGTTTACGTTTTCTCGTTTGTATTCCATCTTTTCTCATAGCCAATGGACGATTAATTCCGTGCAATTTAAAATATAATCCGCAAGCATTGCATACCGGTTCACCTTCATTATTTCTTCTCCAAAGAGTTGTCGTTCTTGTACCACAATTCGTACAACAAAGTCCTAATCTTTTGGTCGCCGTCTAAAATTCAATTTATTTCTCTTTTATATTTTTATTACAGGTAATATTACATAAAAAAAAAAAAAATACAACAAACCATCCTTTTAGAAGGTTTGACCAACGGCCTGTTCATTCCGTTCATTTTATGGTATAATCCACAAGCATTGCATAGATAATGTCCTGTTCCATCTCTTCTCCAGAGAGGAGTCGAAATAGCTCCACAATTTACACACTCTCTTCCTTCTCCAAATTGAAAATCCAAACCACCATCTGAAAAATTTCAATTACTAATAATAATTCAAATAATTCTCTTGTAAATAATAGGTAAGTCTACGAAAAAAAAAAAAATTTTTTTTTCTTTTTTAACAATAATAATAATAAATAAAACTTGCCGTAGTGATTTGTTCTTTGATATTCTCCAGGATCAAATGTCCTCCAAGTGACAACATTTTGACCGTAAAAAGGACTAGCCAGACTGCTGGAATTCTGTTGTGCTACCAAATGACCAGAATTATTATAATTATCACTTCTGGGACTTTGTTGATGTGACCAACCATTTGGAGAAGGACCAAAATGTTCAGGTGTAACTTGAATTTTAACAAAAAATTATTAGTTTTTTTATAAAATTATTTTATTTAAAAAAAAAAATAATAATATTCACCAGAGGAATTAAACTGATGACTTATACCGCCTAAGATTCCTCTTGTTGAAGGTACAAAAACGGGATGTTGAGAACTCAAATAACCGGGATTTTCTTCTACGTATCCTCCGGTACTGGAATTTGGAAACATTTTTCACTTTTTCTGAGGTAAAAAAAAAAAAATAAAATAAAATAAAATAGAATTAATTTAAGATCGAATGCATTAATAATGATAATGAAAGATTTAAAAAAAGAAAAGAAAAAGAAAAATTTTTTTTTTTTTACTTTTTAGTTTATTAAAATTAAAGAAAAAATTTATTAAGATTAAACATTAAATTTTATTTAAAATAAAATTTTAGTAAAACCACCACGCCTTGGCCATCGTGTGGCATTTCTTCTTATCTAACTTCCGCAATCAATAAAAAAACTTTATCTTGTTTTTTTTTTTTTTGTTTTAGGGGGGTTCAAACCGTGAAAAAAAAAAAAATTTTTACATAACAACACTGTCACATGCTAAGTCTCTATATATATAATTTTGAAATAAAATTAAAAAGCCCCATCCCCGTATATTTGAACGAAAATTTAAAAAAAAAAAAAAAGATGAATGAAATCAAATTATTATTATTATTATTATTATTAATTTTATTATCGTTTGTAGATGAGAGCATCGAAATTGAAAATTGTCCGACGATAATAGTGATGATAATTGTGTGAAAAAAATGCCATCGTTAAAGCACACCACCGAAATCACCCCAAATATTATTTTATCAAATTAGGCAAAACGTTGAAAACCAGAAAAGGAGTTTTACACACACACACACACGATCAAGATGGAGCCTTTGGATGGAAATAAATTAAAATTATCTAAATATCATGAACGACGAATAATAAATAAATAAAATGATGAATGAGGATTAAATAAGTTTCTCCTAGTATCGAAAAATGTAAATAAAAAAAAAAAAAATGAATAATTTTCCCTACGGTAAGAAAAATTAAAGCGAGAAAAATATTTTTTTAATTTAAACTCTATTATTAATTTTTACAAAAATTCAAACTATTATTATTATTTTTTGTAATAAATAAAAAAGTAATAATAATAATAATAATAGTAAATTCTCGAAATCAAAATTTTTCGTTTAAATTAGTAAAAAAAAAGAACATGTCGCATTCTTTAAAATGATTTTTATTTATATATATATACATATTTTTTTTTTCCGACCACCCGACTTCTCACCACGCGAAAGTGACATAAAAGTTTAATAGAAATAATAATAATAACAATAAGGACAAAAGAAGAAATTACGCACCTGGATCGAAGAACAAGGAAAATATTAACTATGAATGGTGCGTTACATCCAAAAGCTGATGCGGATAGATTGTACGTCAGCAGGAAAGATGGAGGAAGAGGATTACGACAAATAGAAGCGGCATACCAGAATGCCATAATTGGAATGGGAAAATACATAGAATCTCATCAAGAGGACCCTATCTTAGCTCAAATTATACATACGGAAGAAAAAATTACAAAAAAAGGAGTACTGAAAAGAAGAAAACAAATCGTCAAAGAAAATAAAGAAAACGA